TTGATTCCTCACTCTGACTTTGACGTTATACTCTTCCATTAAATAAACCAAATAATACCAAACAAATCAAATAAAAATTTCCTTCTATCAAATAAAAAGCTAATCTCTTTCTTTGCTAATGAATTTTCCAAAATATTTTTTCCTTTTGCATCTTAACTCGCTTCTTTTAGATTTAGTTTACTTAGTATGATATTGTTATAAAACTTTTGTTAATTTCAAACATATAACATATTAAAACACACACACACACACACACACACGCACACTCTTAAAGCTGTAGTGTGTATGCCTGCAGAGACCAGAAGATTCATTGGATCTCCTAGAGCTGGAGTTATAGGCAGTTGTGAGTGGCTCAACATGGGTACTGGGAACTGAACTCTGGTCATCTGGAAGAGTAACAAGCACTCTTAACCACAGCATCATCTCTCCAGTTCCCACAGTATGAATTAAAAAAAAAAAAAATCACGGCATTAATATTTTTTAATACTATGGTTGGTCAAGTTGTTTCGTAGACTGTCCCAGCTGGGTCTTTTCCCTCATGGTTCAGGCTCCATGGTTTGGCAAGGACGTGCTGCTGAACTGTGGACACTGTCTCCCATCGTAGCATACTCTGCTGTTTAGTCTCATCACTGGCAACATTAGCTTGGCTCATTGGTTAAGTGGTTTGTGTGTTTGTATCACTCTAAGGATATTATTTTACCTTCCGTAACAACCAAGTTGGGAGACTAAATATACTGTTCCCAAACTTTCACCCACTGGTCTCAGTGTCCACTGATGATTCTTGACTGCATTGGTCATTACAGGCTGAATGTCTCTTACCCAAAATGCTTGAGACCACAGGTGTTTCTGGTGGTGTTTTCCAGGTTTCTGAATATTTGCAGACTTTCCTAGTTGAGTGGCTCTAGTCCCGAAATAAAAACTTAAAGTGTCATGTTTTCTCCAAGACATGATTTTAGGACATTTTTGATTTCAGATTTTCAAATTAAGGATGCTTAGTCTGTATTTCGATGGCTTCCAAATTAATTTTTCTTTCTTTTTTGGGCAGTCCTGGGGCCTGAGCCTAGTATATCATGTATGTGAGTCAAACGCTCTCCCTCTGAGCTACAGTCCTGGCCCTGACCAAATGGTTAATGTTTCAACCCCATCTTTCTTTCTCCATTAGTTGGCACTCTACTGAAAGGAAGCACTTTCCCTTCCTTCTTTATTTGCATCACTGGGAGCTCATGGAAACTTAATAATTTAACGTTATGTTCACTGACTGTCATCACTTACTTTGATGCCCAAATTACACCAGACTCAGTGAAGTCCCCTAACAAGGAAACATCCCTGTCGTCACCATTCCTGAACATTGTTACTTTCAGGCAGTGGAATTATATACCAGGCTCATCTGTACTTTTCCTGTCCTTGCCCTGCAAGCAGTCATTTCCCTCAAGAGCTTTTTGGTCATACTTATTTAAATTACTCCGCCTCCTCTGTTCTTCCAAAGAAAAAATTATTCAGTACCTTTTGTTGAGTCCATTCCTCCAACTGCAAATAATGTGCCAACAGTTGACTTCCTGGGTTTTGTCCGAGGACTCTGTAACATGGGCCGTCTCTCTGGTAATAAATGATACTTCATTGCTTCCATAATGAGTTTCTGACATTCTATGTCATCCCGAAAAAGTGGATTATTTTCCAAGTCTGCTAGGAACTGGAAAGTAACAGTGAATATATATATACTGAGTGACTTGGAAAACAGTAGGCTAAAAAAGATGAAATGATACAAATTTCAAACAGAAATGACCTCAGTTAAAAACTTCAAGTCTGGGGCTGAAGAGATGGCTCAATGGTTAAAAGCACTGGCTGCTCCTGCAGAGAACCTGGGTTCAACTCCCAGCACCCCCATGGCAGCTAACAACCATCTGTTACTCTAGTTCCAGGGGATCTGATGCTCACTGCTGACCTCTGTGGGCACTGCAAGACATAGGTGCACTTACATACAAGCAGGCTATAATACACTCATACACATAAAATAAAAATAATAAAATATTTTTAAAAATCACTAAACAGGGCTGGGCATGGTGGCGCACACCTTTAATCCCAGCACTTGGGAGGCAGAGGCAGGCAGATCTTTGTGAGTTCAAGGCCAGCCTGGTCTACACAGTGAGTTCCAGGACAGCAGGAGCTACAGGGTAAAAAAAAAAAAAAAAAAAAAAAAAAAAAAAAAAAAAAAATCCCTAAACACATTTTAACACAACACAAACATAAAACATAGCATTACAAGATTTACATTTCAAATGTCATTGCAAAACAAGCACTAACAATCACAAATGATATCCTCTGAAATCTTAATGAGTTTATCCCAGGAAGACTGGAATACTGGAATACTGGTGTTTTCTAAATAATCTTTTTACTACTTTCCTTTAATTTCCTAAAACTAATCACTTTAAACTAGAAATAAGTACAATTAAAAAATAGTAACTATAACAGGGACCCAATTAGACTGTGTTTACTTGACTTTTAAAAAATTATTTATTTATATTTTTGTGTACAAGTGTTACATCTGCATGTATATAAGTGTACCTGTGTCATGCAATGCCTGTGGAGGATAGAAGAGGATCTTGGATCCCCTGGAACTGGAGTTACGGATGGTTGTTGGCTGCCATGTGGGTATCAGGATTTGAACCCGGGTCTTTTACTACAGCAGCTAGAGCAGCCAGTGCCATCACTCCCTATTTTTTAAGTCATTACTTTGTTCCACTGATTTGTCTATTTAGAGTATTTTATATTATTGATAGCCTCTTTTTTTGTTTGTATTGTTTTTGACATAGGGTCTCTCCTGTACCCCAGGCTGGCCTTGTACTCACTTTGTACCCCTGGATGGCCATGAACTCCTGATCATCCTGCTTCAGCCTCCCAAGTGTTGAGATACAGGTATCAGTCTCCAGAGCCAGCTTATTAATGCCTTTATAGCGCGCATCTGGTATCTGATAATGCAAATCTCCCCTCTTTAATTTTCATAGTTTTGATATTTTTGAGATTTTATTTTCCATATCAACTTAAGATAAATTCATCCAGTTCTCTTTCATTACCTTGATTCTCCTGGTCTCCTAATGTGAGTTGTGGTAAATTATTAATTTCAGAGAACACACATTTATGGTATTAGGCTTTCTGTTCAAGAGAACTTTCCTCTTCTATGACTTTCTTTACTGCCTTATGCCTTTCTTTTATTAAATATATCCCTACGTATTTTATTATTTTTATTGTCATTTTATTTTATTAAGCTTTAATTTTTGTTTTACTGGAGAGAAAAATCTACTATTGTACACTTGCTTTTTCATTAGTTAATTAATTAAATAGTTAACTAATTAATTATGTGTATGAGTGTATTGCCTGCATGGGTGTAAGTACACCCGTGTGTTGTGCAATGCCTGCAGAGTTCAGAAGAAAGCACTGGATCCTCTGGAACTGGGGTTATGGATGGTTGTTAGCTGCCATGTGGGTGCTGGGAATCAAACCTGGGTCCTCTGTAAGAGCAATCAATGCTCTTAACTGCTGGCCCATCTCTCCAGTCCCATACACTTGCTTTTTAACCTAGCACTTTACCGCACTCACTGACTATGCTATAGCTATTATGCATGCATTCATCATCAAATAGGAAAAGTTTCGATGTTTTTTTTCTGTGTGGGTGCTAATTAGTTTATACTTTTATCACATTGCCAAAACCTCCAATGCAACGGAGAATAATTAGGGTGAAGTGGAATTTCTCTGCTCCTGGCTGGAATTGATAAGACAATACTGTTTTACTTTCCGGTAATAGCTGCTATGGCCATTATTATATGGAGGCGGCCTCCTCCTTATTTTGCTTTAGAGTTTTAAATTAAGAATTGTTGCTAATTTTCCCCTAAAATATCTTTTATATATCTATGGATATGATCATTTAGCTTTTGCTCCTTTTAAGTTAGTGATGAAATGATTACCTTGATAGATTTCCTGGTAACAGTTCTTTCTTTTTTCTTAGAAAAAGACCTTCCTGGTCATAGTATGTTACCTTTTTTGATACACTGATGGGTATATTTGATAATCTACTTCTTTACAAGCCTATTAAAGCATCTTTTAACTATCATAATTAATCTAAGTAAGTGTTTTAAATAAATTTATAGTTATAAGTATTACCACAAAACTGTTTTAGACATTTCTATCACCTCAGTTAGATTCCACATACCCAGTTACTATTAATCACTATTTTTTTCTCTTTTTTGTTTTGAGACAGCATCTTCTTGTAGCCCCAGCTGGCCTGGAACTCACTATGTAGACCAGGCTGGCCTTGAACTCACAGAGATCTGCCTGCCTCTGCTTCCCAAATGCTGGGATTAAAGGTATATGCCACCACATCTGGCTTAATCATTATTTCTTTTTTAAAAACTATTTTATTTATTATTTTTATTTTATGTGTATGAGTGTATTTCCTGCATGTATGTGAGCGCACCTGTGTCATGCAATGCCGCTGAGGTCAGAAGAGGGCTTCAGATTCCCCTGGAACTGGAGTTAAGGATGGCTCGCAGCTGCCATATGGGTGCTGGGAATTGAACCCGGGTCCTCTGCAAGAGCAGTCAGTGCTCTTAACCGCTGAGCCATCTCTCCAGCCCCTTAATCACTATTTCTATCTTCTCACCTCCTGTGCACACATGAACACATTTCTACAGATCTACCTTTCCAGGACATTTCACATGAACAAAATCATTCATGCTTTCTTATGTCGTGCTTATTTCATTTGGCATAGTCTTTAGGTTTGTCATATGTAAAGGTACTAATTTCTCTTACTGCTGGATAATAGTCTGCTGACTGGCTGTTTCACTTTATCTATTCACCAACCAATGGGCACTTAGGTTGTTTCCCATATAGGGCTACTACAAATAAAGCTGCTAAGAAAGTTTTTGTTCAAGTCATCGCGTGGACATATTTTGATTTCCCTTGGGTAGATAACGAGGTAAAATGATCCTGAATTTTTTTTACTTATTATTTTTATTTTCTATGTATGAATGTATTGCCTGCATGTATGTAAGCGCACCTGTGTCATACATTGCTCTCAGAGGTCAGAAGAGGGCAGCGGATCCCCTGGAACTGGAGTTATGGATAGTTATTAGCCACTGTGGATGGAGTTATGGATAGTTATGGATGCTGGGATTCAAACTTGGGTCCTCTGCAAGAGCAGCCAGTGCTCTTAACCACTGAGGCATCTCTCCAGCCCCATTCTGAATTTTTAACAAACCACCAAACTGTTTTCCAAAGCAGCTGTACCACATTCATGTCCCCACCAGCACTGTGAGGGTTCTGTCTCTGCACATCAACAGCGATTCTTACTATTTTAGTCAATTGGGTTGGCATAAATCGGTTTTATTTTGCATTTTTTAAATGGCTAATAATGCTGAGACTATGTCCAGGCTTTGATAACTGAAGAGAACAAAAGTCTTGAACAAAAGTACTATAAAAAAAGCTTGTGGCCAGGTGTGGTGGCACACACCTTTGATCCCAGGATTTGGGAGGCAGAGGCAGGCGGATCTCTGCGAGTTCAAGGCCAGCCTGGTCTACACAGTGAGTTCTAGGATAGCTGGGGCTACAGGGAGACCCTGTCTCAAAAAGACCCCCCCCCCAAAAAAAGCTTGTGGCATTTGGGAAGCATGCAAGGCAAGCCAAAGGCAAAATAACTAATTAAGAAACAATCTTATGAACTAGACCATGCTTTTCCCCATGCCCACAAAAGACAGACTTGTCAAGGAAGCCATTTGTGAACATGCATTGAGTTGGCACATTTAATTAATGTTAATGTTTATCTTAATTCCATTAAAATCACTTTAGTGCTTTCTAAATTAATGTGAAATAAAACGTAGAAAGCAAAGTCTCAGGAGATTTTGTAGTAACTGCAGTTTGAAGCAAAAGATGTATTTCTTAGCATGATGATAACCTCTATAATTTACTTAAAATGAGATTATATTTAAGAAGTGAGATTAACAGAAAAATTATAAAGCAATTCATCCAAGAACATTAATCAAATAGTAATAAATATTAATACAAAGGTATTCATTATTCATTATGACTGACATAACTATAAAATATAAATTCTAATATACTCTTGTATTTTTGGTGAAGTGGAATGCCTTGTTTGCCATAAAAGAATGGCAAACCATTAAAATAAAAGCATTTGGAACAGAGAAACATTTTGTTGTAAATTTTTAATTAATTAAGTTTTACTTATTTTATTTTTATGTGTATGAGTGTTTTGTCTGAATGTAGATAAGTGTCCCATATGTATGCAATGCCTGAGGAGGCCAGAAGAAGGAATAAGATCCCCTAGAAGTGGAGTTAGAGATGGTTGTTAGCTGCCCTGTGGGTGCTGGGATCTGAACCTGGGTCCTCGGTAAGAACAGCAGGTGCTCTTAACTGCTGAGCCATCTCTCTAGCTCCCTATTTTGTCAATTTTTAATCTTCACTCTTGTACTTGCTTGCCATGACTTTTTCTTTAAAACCACCCCCTCAAAAGACGTGTAGAACAGGAATTTACATATTTTGTAAAACTGGATCAAATCTAAAAGGAGGCAGAGTATTGTAATTATACATACTATTTCTTCCATTATTAAAATGTCTATTCTCAGCAACACTATAATAAAATTAATATTTGGAAGTTGAATTCCTTGTAGTTATGATTTATAGTAACAAAAGCAAGGTAAAAGCTGGGCGAGATGGTACATGCCTTTAATCCCAGCACTCAGGAGGCAGAGACAGGATGATTGCTGTGAGACTGAGGCCAGCCTGGTCCACATAGTGACTTCCAGGAAGGCTGGGACTGTCAAAAAAAAAAAAAACCAAAAAAAACCCCCCAAAAAACCCCCAAACTAAAAACCAACCAACCAAACAAAAGAACTCACAAGTGTTCAGTCCCTAACTGGAACATCTATATTGTACTGGAACATCTATATTGTACTCTCTTCCCCCTAAGGCTCAGGGAAAATTGTGGAAGAGGAAGTGAAAAGATTATAAAGGCCAGAGGTTGGGGAGGACTCCTGAGAAACAGTATCTTTTGGGTGTGACCAGGGCCATTGCACTCAAGAACTCATGGCACCTGTGGTTGCCTGCACAAGACCTGTATGAATTCCATCCAGTCAACACTCTAGCACAGATGAGGGGGGACTCATGAGGCCCCACCCCTCTAGCTGAAGAGCTTTTGGCCAGGTGATGGCTGCTGTGGAGGGAGTCAGTTTTCTTCAGCAATGTGGCCCATAGTTGGCTGCCCATGCTCCAGTGATGGCCTTACACCCTTGCATATCACGACAGTATTAAGTGGATTCAGTGGCTTATTAAGAAAAAGAAAACATAAAGTTGGGAGGAGGATGTGTGTGCATGCATGCATGTGTGTGTGTCGCTGTTCCAGAGGAGTTGGAGGGTTGGAGGGAGGTAGTGTGTAGGAGGAAGTGTGGCCTGAAGAACCAGTGCATGCGCACTGCAAACATGCCAAAAACATCTGGCTGAGGCAAACCTGTGTTCTGCCAAAAGACATAGAGACAGCTGACATGAAAATGGCCTGATACAGAGCCAATGAGGAACAGACACGACCTATTAATGGCCTAATGGGACACCGGGAGGGGGGCTATAAGGGAGCCCCATATCCACAATAAACGAGTCTGCAGCTGCTCGCACTGCCTGCTTCTCACCTGACACCCAGAGTCTGTGTTGTGACTCCACGCCTGGAGGGCCCCAGGACACCCGCAACAGTAGTGGGGGGGTAGATATAGTCTAAATATATTGCATTGTATTCATGTATGAAGTTACCAAAGGTGTGGGGGAGGGAAACACCACAAGAAATGCTAAGTTTAATAATTCTGCAACTTAGTATTATCATTGTAGGGAAGGAAAACTCAGCTCAGAGAGGAGAAGTAACTTGACACTGTGCAAGGCAGTGTAGCCATGTCAATTACATTTACTCCTCCATTACTCCTCACCATGGAGAGGGGTTCTCAAATCTGAGGGCGATACAAATCACTTCAGGGTTTATTAAATCACAAGTGTCCAGGGTCCACTTATAGAGTTTCATATTCACAAGTTATGGGGTGAGGTACTGCCAGGTGCTGTTGATCCTGTGCTTTGAGAACCATTAGGCTAACCCACTCCTCCCTTCCTTATCTGTCATATCTGTAGCATCTGATGACATTTAGAATCTTCCTTTTTTTAAGAGAGAGAGTCTCCTTTTAGCCCCAACTGGCTGGACTAGATTTCACAGAAAAATGCCCGCCCCTGACTCCTGAGTGCTAGGATTAAAAGGAGTGCGCCACCACACCTAGCTTGGGATCAATTTTTAATGACATGCCAGTCATGTATCGAAGTGTGGAATGGTGCTGAATGCCAGTGCCTCCTGGGGCTCCACCCTGCAGTCTTACACTCCCGTGACACTGTTGTTCTCTTACCATCAGTTTCAACATGCAGGTAAGTTGCTTCCCCCCTTTTTTCCCCCTTAAGAGTCTGAGGATTAAAGGTGCCAAGAAGTTTTGGGAAAATGACTCTGCCTCTCTTTCCTAGTCCATAAGCTAGCTCTTCTCCACGTTATTTGTCTCAAATGACAGCACCTTCACTAAGCTTATTCTACAAACCAGAATCACCCTAGGCCCCTCTTCTGGCTCAGTCATTTTATATATAGATACATCAGTTTCTGGTAATTTCTTTCTGGCACTGCTCATCAGTGTCTACTTCACGTGGCTGAACTCTGACAGCCTTCCTAATTGGTTTCTAGCTTTGACCCCCGATCCGTTCTCTGCAGCATAGTTATAGTTATCATCCCCAAAATAGAATTATGGAGCAAGGTGCTGATCATGTGGTGCTTCAAGACATTCACTCCAGTTCTCTGCCATTGCAAATTTGGGGGAATATTCTTAATATTTTCATCTACCTATCACAACCCAATTCCAATTATATTATATAACCACACCTAGTTTCTAATCTGTTTCCTCCTTAATTTCCCTACACCCAGCAGTTTTACTCATGGTATGTTTTATAGGTAAAATGGTTTGTGGAAAAGGCGCTGTATTTCAGTGCAGATCTTAGCTCTGCTCTCATGAGCTCTATGTTAGCCAGGTAGCTAAGCCAAACAGAAGTGGAGTTCAGAAGGACAAGAGTTGATGCAATACTTTGTGATTCTGATCCCAAGCTAGATTTTTTGGCCTGTTACTTCATTTGTAGCACAGGTATTGGGCTAAATGATTTCTACAGTACCTCTCAAAGCTAAGAACTTATCTTCTGATCCCCAAGTTCCCAGTAACAGGAATTGTAAAGGTCTGTGAGAGTCATGCAAATATCGATTTCACAAGTGCTCTTCAAACTGCAGAACTGAAATAAATCTCCAGGTTATTTAGCTGTGCAGGCTCTACTCAAAGCCTAACAAGATTCCCTATTTTATTTTCTTTCATTTAGAGAAGAATAAAAAAGAAAATCTGGTAGGAAGAAGTAAAATTCTAAGTCCCCTCTTTAAATAAGATTTTCAGAGAAAAATTTTATGTTATTTGTTCTGAACTGCCATCGATTCATGCTGTTTCACTTCTGTGTATTTGTACAATATTCTACTTGAAAAGAGGGAGGTCTTTGGCATAAACCTCAGCACTGACTTCTGTCTTTGTTAAGGTAAAATGCAAACAGTAACTTTCACTCACAGTAGCCAAAAACGATGCACTATCTTCAAGATTAATATGAACAAGGTAACATTTGTGGCACTGGAAGTAACAAGAAAAAGAAAAGAAAGTCTGGCCTTAAACAGTAAGAGCTCTTTCTCTCTGATTTCAAGGTCCCATTCTCAATTCAATTTGGCCTTGAGATTGGCAACAAAAAACACTGGGGAAATTTCTACACCTTCCAGTGAAAATCGTGAAAAGGGGAAACTGCAAATAAGTATGTTATGACTGACAGCTCTGAGTGCAGTGACTAGACATCTCTTCATCCAATGATGGTATTATTTATAGCACAGTTGATTTCACAGAATGCATTTCTGATTCTCATCATAGTCCTGAGACAGTCAGAAAAGATGCATCTCTACTTGATCAGAACTGATGTCTTCTCTACTTGCAGATGGAGAAAAGTGGGGTGTGACTGGCAAGTCACATGTCACAGAGTTTCAGAATTTCAGAGCTGGAACTCTTATCATAATTACTAATGTATATATCCCAGAACTCAGTAGTTAGTGGATACTTAATACATGTGACAAATAAATTAATCTAAAATTTCTGACTTTTAGAGGGACAAGACATCTGCTGTTAGTTAATGCATTCTAGACACACTAGCGAAGCTACACTAATGACATTTCTATAGTATGGTAGTCTAAAGAGATTTGTATAATGAGAAAACCAGTTGGCTGATCAAGGTGGATGGGGTAATGTCACAGGATCCTACCTCAAGTGCTACAAGCAATCAATAGATGTTGAGGGAAGGGGAATCAGTTTTTCTCCAGGGACTAGATCCCTGAGAGGTTACCTAATCCCAAATGGACAGCTCTAAACAAAGGTACACATGAGTTCCACTAAATGGACTCAGTGTATCATATATATTTATAAATGCATAGATATATACAGCACAATAATCAAAGAAGAGAAAAGAAACTGAGAGGGAATGGGAGACATGGGAGAAGCTGGTGGGGAACTGGAGGGGATGGAAATAATGTAAAGATAATCCTCATGTATAAAAGTCTAAAAATATTTTTTAATTAAAAAAAAAGTGCTTGCTGCTCTTGCAGAGGACCTGGGTTTGGTTCCCAGTGCCCATATGGCAGCTCACAAATACCTATAACACCAGTTCCAGGGGATCCAATGCCCTATGCTGGCTTCCTGAGGCTTCTGCATGCACATAATGAACATAAAACTCATAGTTACACAGACATACACAAAAATTTAAAAAATCTTAAAGAAATAAGTAAATGAATGAAATTTATGGCTCCTAAAGTCCATTGTTTCCTTTACTACTAAGTTTCCTTTAACTGATAGGACAGAATTACAGTTGACTCATATAAAATTACTAGTGAGTGTTGCTTAATAGATGCAACTTAGAAAGCTAGACCTCTGGATTAAAAACACAGCAGAGTTTTGCTAGTTTACTATCTTTTTACCTATGCATTCCCTAGGAATATACGTAAAAAGTACTTTGATGGAAAAGGCAAAGGGAAAGACCTATAAACAAGTGTCTACTGATTACCTGTGGGGCAAGAAGAGGTAGCCTAATATAAGCCAAGAGTTTGCTGAGATCTTTCCGCCTCTGTTCCAAATCGTGACGGACCCAAGTAAGAAGTGCATTCAGTATTGTCTCCTCATTAGGGATGTTCATGTCATCACTGGCCAAGAGCTTTGCAATTTCACTGGCTGGGAGCAACACAAACTCTTGGTTTCTGATTACCTCCATGAAATGTTCCTAGCAGGAAAAAAAGGCAAATAAATAATATTTTAGCCATCACAGTTTATATGAGAGAAGCTAAAATTTTTTTTTGTATTGTGTCCAAGCATAAATTATACTTTAGAAACACTGCTATTACTACCTGCTAGGAAAGAAATAGTGCAAAGAAACATTTAAATTGCAACTGTTTATTAAACATATATAAGTAGAAACAAAGTGTTGCCTCACTACATTTTTTAAAAGTGGATCTGTAACATTTATTTATTGCTTTGGCCAAGTTAGGGAATATCTTGGCAAGGCTCTTGAAGGTAGATGGGAAAAAATGAATTAGACACTGAGAAAGGTTAACAACAGAAGTTAGTTAGGATTTATGGTTGTTGAGGAATTTACACAACTGTGAAGCCAGGTAGAGTGTGAGCTTCTACTTTTTTCTCTTATCCAGAATTTCCCTCCAGGATGGCCAGATTTCCTAAGACTATTCTAGACCAGGCTTCCTATATCTTGTCAAGGCAGAGTATTTGTCTTTAAGGTTATTCTAAAACTTGGTGAGATCAGTAATCTAAAACTAGATTTTAAATTTGTGTTCCTTTTGTTTAGACAGAGTCTATCAGTATAGTCCAGGCTAGCTTTGAATGTGAAAGTCTCCTATCTTTACCTTTGAGTGCTGTGACTACAGGTGTGTGCCACCATGCTTAGCTCAAAAATTATTTTTGTTCTGAGCTCCCCAACCCCATCTCTCCTCCTAGCAGGACTGGCACATTTCTTATCTTGGCACCTCAGACCTCTGGACTGACCTCTTGGCCCAGACTCTCCACTGCTTCCTGATCCTTTGCATCCATACCAAACCAATTCCTCCCTCTAGTCCTTGGGGGCCCTTGGGGCCTCTTCCCAGCCCCACCTCCCTTTGCATCTCTGGTGGCCCAGCCCCCCAGCTTCCTGGGGCCAGCATCTTTTCTGGAGGGAGCCAGCTCTTAGGAGAAACCCTGAGAGCATATCATCCTCATCTGACTTGGGCCTCTGTGGGAACTCCTGAGCAGGAAAACGAAATCAATTTGGCCCCTTCAATATGAAATAAAAAGAGAATTTGAAACTTAGACCAAACAGCTTTTCATGCCCAACAAGTAAATCACAAAGGCACACAAAGTTTATAAAAAGGAGCAGACCTAAACTCAACAAAGGAAAGCTTAAGTCTCACATAAGAATCAGAAACTATAAAAGAAATCCACATGTCAAAGTCACAGCAAAAAGAAAAACAACATGAAAAACCCAAATAATATATCTCCATCAAGTACCAACAACCCTGTAGAGGAGTACAATGAGAACACCCTAGGGATAACACAGGACATGGAATTCAAAAGAACAATTATAAACATGATAAAATAATTCAGTGAATTTAAAGAACACACAAAGAAATCAAAGAACTGAAAGAAGATAGGGATTAAACTGCTAAATGAATTGAGAAAAGGGTCAGAAATATTGAAGAATAATCAAGCTGAAATGAAGAAGGAAGTGAAACACTCAATAAGCCAATTAGAAGTGACAGGAGAAAGCCTCACCAACAGGATGAATGAAATGGAAAACAGAATACCAAGACTGGAAGATAAAGTGGATGAATTAGACCACTCAAGCAAATATTATGAAAAATTTAAGAAAACACAAGAATGGAATATGCAGGAATTGTGTGTGACACCATAAAAAGGATAATGGTATGGACCAGATCTTCAACAGGATTGTAGAAGATTTCCAATCAGAATTACAGCTGACTTTTCAGTGCAAACTATGAAAGCCAGAAGAGCCTGGACCAAAATATTCCCCGTTCTAAATGACCACAGATGCCAACCCAGATTACTCCAGACAAAATGTCTATTATAGTTGAAGGGAAAGAAAAATCTTCCATGAAATAAATAAGCTGAAAGAATTCATGTTCACAAAACCAGCCCTTCAGAGAATTCTTGAAGTGATACAAAGAGCTGAAGAAAGGAACAACTATACCCAAGGGGTTACGCAAAGAAACTTAATGAAGGTATTAACTGTGGAAATGCACAGCTATACCAAGAATGTGAACAGAGATAAAAATGACACGATTCAATGCACATATTTCATTAATAACTTTAAATATCAATGGACTAAACTCCCCAGTCAAAAGACACAGGCTAGTTGAATGCATTAAGAAACAAAACCCATTTTTTTGTTGTCTGCAATAAACTCATCTCACTTTCAAGGACAGGCACTACCTTAAGGTGAAAGGATGGAAAAAAAAATACCAAGCAAATGGTACTAAGATAAAAGCAGGTGTTGCAATTCTAGTATCTGACAAAATAGACATTAAACTAAAACTAATCATAAGAGATAAAGAGGGCCACTTCAATCTGATCAAAGGAACAACTGATGAAAACGATATATTTATAATCATGAACATATATTCACCAAGCTCTGGCACAGTCAACTTCATAAAAACAGTACTACAGGACTTTAAGACTCAGATTAATCCCAACTCATTAAGAGTTGGGGACTTCAATACCCCACTGTTGCCATTAGATAGGTCAACAGAACAGAGAATTAACAGAGAGACATCTGAATTAAACAATACCATACATCAAATGGGCCTAACAGGCATCTACCGAATATTCCACCCAAGCACCAAAGAATATACTTTCTATTTAGCGCTCCAAGGAACTTTCTCCAAAAACGACCATATACTGGGACAGAAAACAAACCTCAACAAATACAAAAAGATTGAAATAATTTCATGCATTCTATCAGACCACAATGCAATAAAGCTTAAAATAAACACCAGAAGAAACCCTAGTAACTACATGAACACATGGAGATTAAACAACACACTCCTGAATGATGAACAGGTCAAAGGAGAATTAAGAAAGAAATAAAAGTATTCCTGGAACTAAAAGAAAAGGAAAATACAACACAACAAAACCTCTGGGACATGCTGAAAGCAGTCCTTAGAGGGAAGTTTATAGCTCTAAGCACCTTCATTAAAAAAAATCAGAAAGAACACAAATAAATGACTTAACATTACAACTCGAGACACTTGAAAAGCAACAACAAATGAAACCCAAACCCAGCAGAAAAGAAGAAATAACAAAAATCAGAGCAGAAATTAATGAAATAGAAACAAAGAAAACAATACAAAGAATCAAAGACTCTAAGAGCTGGTTCTTTGAAAAGATAAACCAGATTGACAGACCCCCAGCCCAGTTAACCAAAGGAAAGAAAGAGCACCTCCAAATCAACAAAATCAGAGATGAAGGGGGAAACATCACAACAGACACCAAAAAGATCCAGAATATTATAAGGGACTACTTTAAAAACCAATACACTACCAAATTTGAAAACCTAAAAGAAATGGACAGGTATCTAAAAGCATGGGAACCACTAAAACTAAACAAGAAGAAATCAACAACTTAAACAGACCCATAACATGTAAGGAAATTGAAGAAGTAATGCAAAACCTCCTGATTAAAAAAAGCCCAGGCCCAGATGGATTCACAGCAGAATTCCACCAAACATTTAAAGAAGATATACATCCAATACTACTTAATTTATTCAAAAAAGATAGAAACAGAAGGAGAACTTCCAAATACCTTCTATGAAGCCAGTTATCAGTCTCATACTGAAACCAGGTAAAGACACAACCAATAAAGAAAACTACAGCCCACATCCTTAATGAACATACATGCAAAAATTCTCGACAAATACTTGCAAACTGCATACAGACACACATCAAAAGAGATCATCCACCAAGATCAAGTTGGCTTTATTCCAGAGATACAGGAATAGTTCAATTATATACATGTCAATAAACATCATAAATCATATAAATGGACTCAAAGACAAGAACCACATGGTATGAGCTCAAAGACAAGAACCACATGGTCATCTCAATAGATGCAGAGAAGGCCTTTGACAAAATTCAACATACATTTATGTTCAATGTCCTAGAGGCAACTGGACTGAAGGGAACATACTTCAACATAATTAAAGCCATATATAACAAACCCACAGCCAACGTCATTCTAAATGGAGAAAAACTGGAAGCATTCCCATTAAAATCAGGAACCAGACAAGGCTGTCCACTATCTCCATTCCTTTTTAACATAGTGCTTAAAACTCTTGCAAGAGCAATAAGACAAGATAAGAAAATTAAAGGAGTAATAATTGGAAAAGAAGAGATCAAATTATCCTTTTTTGCAGATGATATGATATTATATCTAAGGGACGCCAAAAATTCTACCTGAAAACTCCTAGAAATTATTAACACGTTCAGTAAAGTGGCAGGTTACAAAATTAACCTACAAAAGTCTATAGCCTTTCTATATACCAATAACAAGCAATCAGAGAAAGAGCACATGGAAACACTCCCATTCACAATAGCTGCAAAAAAAAAAAAGAAAAAAGAAAAAAAAGAAAAAATCTCGGAATAAACCTGACCAAAGAAATTAAAGAGCGCTACAATGAAAATTTAAATCTTTAAAGAAAGGGATTGAAGAAGACATCAGAAGATGGAGGGACCTCCCATGCTCATGGACTGGAAGAATTAATATTGTGAAAATGACCATCCTACCAAGAGCCATTTATAGACTCAATACAATGCCAATCAAAACCCCCATTATATTCTTCACAGAATTGGAAAAAAACATTTTAAAATTCACATAGAAGCACAAAAGACCTCAGATAGCCAAAGCAACTCTGAGCACTAAGAGCAATCCTGGGGGGATTACTATACCAGATTTTAAACTATATTACAGAGCTATAGTCATAAAAACAACATGGTGCAGGCACAAAAATAGACCAATAGATCAATGGAACAAAATTGAAGAACCAAATAAGAGTACATGCAATTTCAGCCACCTGATATGTGACAAAGGTGCCAAGAACACACAATAGAGGAAAGACAGCATCTTCAACAAATGGTGCTGGCAAAACTGGATCTCTACCTGTAGAAGCATGAAACAATGCTATCTTTCACCTTGCACAAAAGTCAACTCCAAATGGATCAA